AAGAGGAATGGAGAGAAAGAGAAAAGAAGGTATAGGAGTGAAGACCCACAGTTATCAGGATTAATAACCTAGAAGTTTACATACTCGATAAATATTAAGGGCCAATGTTCAGAATACTGTATAGCAAGGAAGCAAGTAAATATCAACGTAAAACTGACCAAATGCTACTCAACTCCAGAGCAAGGGTTCCCAAACCTGGGGTGCCCTCAAAAAAATGTAAAGTTCAAAGCCCAAGTACTCCGAATACTAGGTCTGGGACAGGATCTGGCAATCTTTATTTTGTTAACTGTCCACAAATGATGCTGATGCACAGACATGGTTAGAAATAAATTTCCAATTTATTATTGGGAATAAATAGTTTTATTGTATTTCCTTTTTTAAAAAATACCAGAATACTTATAATACTGGGTAATTGTTTTTGCTAAGGGCTTTTCATTAATTCTCATGTCCATTCTAAAATAGGAACTATTGTTATGCCTATTTTTTTAATTTATGTTTTATTATGGTGACACTGGTTAATGAAATCCAGTAAGTTTCAGATGTACAATTCAACAGTAAAGCATATATATACACTGCATTGTGTGTTCACCACCCATAGTTAGATTTTTTTTCAAATTTTAAATGTATTATTTATTTGTTTGTTTATTATGGTGACACTGGTTAACAAAATCCAATAAGTTTCAGCTGTACACTTTAACAGTAAGGCATATATGTTTACACTGTGTGTTCACCTCCCATAGTTAGATTTCTTTCTGTTACCACATATTTGATCCCCTTTACCCTGTCTACCTCTCCCCTCTTCCCTCCCCACTAAACTCTGGTAACCACTAGTCTATTGTCCATGACCATAAGTCTTTGTTTGTTTGTCCTGTTCATTTGTTACTTTTAGGTTTATATCCCACATATAAGTGATATCATGTGATTTTCAACTTATTCTGTCTGGCTTATTTCGCTTAGCATGATTATCTCGAGGTCAATCCATGTTGTCGCAAATGGCAGTATTTCATCTCTTCTTATGGCTGAGTAATATTCCATTGTATATATGTACCACATATTATGCCTATTTTTAAATGGAAAAACTTGAGGCATGAAGAAGTCAAATAACTTGACTGATGTTACATAGCTTTTAAACCAAGGACCTGGGATTTTAACCCAAGTCTTACCTGCCCCATAGTTTCTTAGCACTCTGATCTGGTGAACTTTAGCAAGCTAAGTCTCTTTTCCACTCTCTAGTCTAAGGATGTCATATGACTACTTGTTTTAATACATCATAGTCATTAAAGTTTTTAATACAGAACTTAAGTCTCAAAATTCAGCAATAAATTCTGTAATTTAAGAGAATGTTGTAAAATCCATATTAAAGTACAGCCTGTTTAGAGCACTGGGAAGGTATTTGGTCATGTCTGCAGCTATTTTAATTACCTTCCATTCCAACTTAACTCAGCAAAATGTATGCTTCTGCTCTTAGGGAACATATGCTCCTTCATCAACACCAGATCTTTACCTAGAAAGAAGCTGGACACAGTAAAGTCTGGCCCGTTAGGAACTACCGCCAAGGGCTTCGCATCTTTTCATAATGTCATGCTTTTGTTTGTGTTACTCCTTCTGCCTAGACTGCACCACCCTACTACTCTGATGTGCCAATTGTTTGTCCTTCGAGGTCCAGCCCAAATACCACCTCCTTCATGATACCTCTGTGATTTTCGATGCTTTGCCTATCACATATGGCAAGATGACACTTATTTCAGGAATACATATGCCTTACCTTGACTGTCTCTGCAACCTCCTCATCTTGTAGTCTCAGATTGCTTGAGTTCTCTTTGGTTCTTCCCCACCTCCTTGAAAGCACGTTTGCAGGCTTCCTCTTCTACATGACCACTAGAATATACATGGTGTGCATAGTGGCTTCATCTCGACCCTCCTCATACAGCATACAAACCTTTCCAGTAACTTCAACCACGTTGCCAGGCCCAACTACCAGGGTGTTCTGATGACTCCCATCCAGCCATCTAGTAAATCACCCATTCATTTATCCAACATTTATTGGTATGCACTTTATGTCAAGTATGCATCATGCTGTCTCCAGGCCAGACCTCTCTCTCAACTACTCTAGACATCCATGCCATTCACGCTCTAACCCCATACTGCATCCATTCTAAGAGGCATATTTCTTCACATTTTCACACAAGTAATATTGAGATGCATTTTATAAAAAAAATGTCCTCTTAAAAATACTTGGCAATGTTTTCCTAAGAAGTTTTTACACATTCTATAACACTGGCTTGTACTAACAACATTATCTTACAGTCAATAAACTGCAGATTATTAGTGTATTTCCTTCTCATTGTTCTATAGCAGTGCTGTCCTATATAACTTTCTTCAGTGATGGAAATGTTCCATATTTGTATTGTTCAACACAGTAACTATTAGCCACACGCCCCTTGAAATGTGGCTAGTATAACAAAAGAACTGAATTTTTAATTTTATTTAATTTTAATTCATGAGATTTATCTACATGATTACCAACTTCTTTGTTCATCATTCTTTCTGGCGTCTCAGTTCTTCCTAGAATCACGCTCTTCTTAAGTATATCCTTTAAGAAGTTTCTTGGTAAAATTCTGCTGTGATAAGTTTTAGTACTTTTGAAAAGTTGTATTTTGCCTTTTTCTTCAATTACAGTTTCGTTGGTATACAATCAACAGTATTTTCTTTTAGCATTTTGAAGATATTTTCCCAACTTCCATTACTGCTATTGAAAAATTAGCTGTCAGTCCATTATTCCCTTGAGAAACAACCTATCTTTTCTTTCTGGGATTCTTATGATCATCTTTTTAATTTTGATGGATTGAAATTTTCTCATCTTTAAATGTGGATCTCTTTTTATTTACCTTTCTTGGTATATGTTGTGCTTCCTTTATCTGTCCATAAATTAATTGAGTTTAAGGAACACTGGTTATTTATATCCTTCATAAACTCTCTCTGGATTTATTAATACAGTAGATCTTCAAATATTACTTCCCTCCATTGGCTCTATTATCTTTCTGGGACTCGCAAGAGATCTCATATTTCTATATTACATTCTGGTTAATTTCTTCAAACTTTTTCCTAGTTCGTTAATTGCTTCTTTGGATGTTTCCAATCTAATTTATTAAATTTTTATTTCAACACTTATATTTTTTCCTTAGGTTTTGTTTTTGTTAGTTTGTTTGTTTTTTCCCAAATCTGCCCTGGTCAATATATTTAAACAAGAAACACACCTAGATTTATGGTGCCCTTGTACACATTCTTTTTCCCTTCTGTTTATTTGAGACATAATTGACATATAACATTGCATTAGTATAAGGTATATGACAGAATTTGATATATGTACTATATATTGAGAAATGATCACCAGAAAAAGTTTAGTTAACATCGATCACCTCAAATAGTTAGAATTTTTTTCTTGTGATGAGAACTTTTAAAGTCTACTCTCTTAGCAGCTTTCAGTTGTACAATATAGTACTGTTAACGATGGTCACCGAACTGAACATTATGTCCCAGAACTCATTTATCTCATAACTGGAAGTTTGTACCTTGACCACCTTTGCCCGTTTCCCCTACTCCCAAAAGCCCTGCTACTGGCAACCACTAATCTGTTCTCTGATTCCATGAGTTTAGTATTTTTTTCTTTAGATTCCACAAATAAGTGAAACCATACAGTATAGTTTTTCTCTGTCTGACTTATTTCACTTAGCATAATGTCCTCAAGGTACATCCACGTTGCTGCAAACAGCAGGATTTCCTTCTTTTTCATGACTGAATAATATATTTGGTCAATTTTTATCTCATGCTATTTTCACTTACTTGAGATTACATATTTTTTTCTTAAAACATTTCAAATATAGTTACTTTATATTCTGTATCAGATCATTTTAATACCTAAAGTCCTCAGGGTTCTAAATCTGTTGTTTTCTATTTGTATCTGGTGACTCTTACTCCTGGTGGCTTGTTTTCTAGTAGGACTAGAGATCTGTAATTCTGAACTCACATTTGGTTGATCTTAGAAGAATCCTAAGGTCTAAGGTAGAGATGCTTTCCTCAGGAAGTATTTGTGTTTGTTTCTGCCCAAAGCCAAGAGGTACTATCTACCGGGAGCCACTTTAACTTCTTTTACAGGTCCTAGTAGAATGCAGGCTCTTCTACCATGCCACTGACCCAAGGCTTAGTCTGCAACCACAGTGGTAATATCAGCATTTGCTCTTGAGGCAACCTATCTTGCATTTGTTTACATGCAGATCTCCTAACTTTGATGGTTGGTTAATATGAATGCAGTAAAAGACTTTGGAAATGTCTTAGACCATAATCCCAAAAGTACACTAAAAAATGCTTTAACCAAAACACAATGCTTTAGTGAGGGAAGTGTGTTAGAGTACCCAGTCCACCATACTGCTAGAAACCTGTCTTGAACTAATCATATCCCCTCAAAACCCACTTTTCTTCTTTTGTTCCACATTTTGAAGGGCACCATGCACTCTCACCCAAATCTGAAACCCAATACTGCAGGTACCAGGTACACTTCTCTTTCCTCCACCATCTCATGTGCAACCAGGCAACAAGTCCCAACTTCTTGCTTAATCAAAAGTGGGTTTACAGTTATGTTTCTGGTCAATGTGGCATCCAGCAGTATAATTTTAATTATCAAGGACAAGTAAGAAAAATAATGATGCAGAATGAAAACCAAAAATCAAGTATCCCTGCCAAAAGCAGGTGCTTTATATGAAGAAAGTTTCAAATACAGGGAAGTGGAAGGAGAACTGAGTTTCACAAGGATCTCAGAACTGTAACTCTGCCTGTCAGAACCATAATCACATTTTCAAGGAGAAGCTTAATTTTAGTCCAACAAAATTATGTCATAATAAGTTATTAATCTAAATTTTATTAATTTTATAGTTTTGCTTGAATTTACTGTATAAATTTGGCATTGTTTTATACTTATATAAGAACTAGAAGTATAAAGAGTTTATATATAGTTTTATGTTCAGGTATATTTAAGCTATTTCATAATAAAAATATTTATGTCAGTACTGGGGATTTATGAGAAATTTTTTCCCTTAAATAAAGATGTCCATAAATTACTAATATTTAAGGCACATTGGTCTTTACATATTTTGCCACCTTTGACACATTCATCACTCTCTTCATAAATGAATAGAGAGACATGGAATATAACAACACAAGCAAGAAATAATTTACTAGACTCCAATGTCTCCCCAATTCACCAGTTCTCCAGCTGTTTGAATTAACTCGATACTAATGAATCTTTTACGGTAGCGTGCTGTTTCTTTACTCTAATAGCGGTGGTTTCTAATAAGACGACTAGCAACACTGCTCTGCTCAGCTCCTACCATCACCCACTTCTACTAGAATTTATAAATTAGTACAAATGTACCTGGCAACAGGACAACAAATGAAACGTGTCGAACAAAGCATAGTCCTTGCCTTAAGGAAGTCCATTTCCTGGTTGGGTTTCAATAACCGGGAACTTGGGTAAGGACAGCATTGTTGTTCTGAATGATTACAAGAAACTCTCAGTCACTTCTTTTTAACTTCTATATTCTTATTCTCTATGGTCTGATGGACTGTAGTTCCTACAAGCCCCACACATTTTGTTTCAAAAGTCTCCCTAACAGGATAAAACTTTCTCCAACATATTGACTTATGTGTCAACATCTTTAATTTCTCTTCTCACGGGGTCTAACTCAATCAGAACCAGAACAGAGGTCACGGCATGATCGTGCAATCACTTACTCATCAGAGGAGCACACTGGAGCCCAGAACATTGAAAAGACTTCCTTGGGGCTACGTGGCTGACAGGTAGAGCCCAGAACCTGCTTCTACCCAGTCCAGCCACCCAATCCAACCCTGTGACTCATTTGACTCCTTTTAAATCACAACTTGTTTGAACTAGGACTTCAAATTAATGACTTTTGTCATCATTAAACTTTTTTTTTAAGTCAAGTAATTTGATAGTTTGCTAATAACAACTTGAAAATATCCACACTGTTCAAAACACAATCTCATGTTTCAATAAAAGTCTAATGAAAGTATCTCAAATTCTGAAACCGAATTCCAAGATTCTTATTTGGAAGTGTTTTTTGTTGTTTTTGTTTTTTAATCAGAGTACATTAACGGGGTGGGAGAGGAGATGAGATTACCTTTTTTAAGAGAAAGAAAAAGAACATTTTATGCATAGTTTTAAAATAATATAGTGACCACATGTAACTCTAATTCAACAATTATCAAATTCAGATCTGGGGTAGGGCATAAGAATATGCATTTTTTTTTAAATTTTATTATTAGCTTCAAGTATACAGTACATTGGTTAGACATTTATATAGTTTATAAAATGACCCCCCTGGTTGCTCTTTCTCCCCTCTGGCTCTCCACTTAGCCATTACATTACTGCTGACTGCAAGGAAAATGCATTTTTAACAAGTACAAGTGACTATAATGCCAATGGTCTGAAGGACATGTGATGGGAAACATCAATCTATTCAATTTTTTACAAATTAAACTGGCTTCAGTACTATTTGTACCTAGCCAGGAAAGTAAAACAAATAAGGGAAGAAGAGTAAGAGAGAAGCCAAAGACACACTATACAGACAGATGAGAAGACAGACATGGTGTTACCCTTCAGGCATGTGGAAAAGTGGCTTTCATGGGATAACATGCCAAAACTCTGGCCTAATAAACTATGCTGAGAGCTGCTGCTAAGAATTTTAAAAACCAACTCAAAGCGGAAATGGCATTATCACCCTAAGAACAGGTGAAATCAAAGACTTGCACAGGGTTTGGCATATTCCAGGCCCTCAGGAAATGTTTGTTTAATTAAGAAGCAA